CCTGGCCGTGCGCCACGAGCCGCAGAAAGTCCAGAGCTTCGACGTATGCCCTCTCGTCAGCCTCCGAGAGGAGGCGCCTGGCGCCGGGCTGCGGGCCGGGCTGGCAGCTGGGCTGTGAGCCGGGCTGTGCCCCGGGCTGGGTGCCGAGCTGGGAGCCGGGCCGTGCGTCGGGCTGGGAGCCGGGCGTGGCGTTGGGCTCGGCGCCGGGCTGGGAGCCGGGCAGGCCGGGCTGGGCGCCGGGCTGGGAGCCGGGCAGGCCGCCGGGCTTGGGGCCGGGCAGGGAGCCAGGCTGTGCGCCGGGCTGGGCGCCGGGCGGGGAGCCGGGCTGTGAGCCGGGCGGTGCCCCGGGCTGGGCGCCGGGCTGGGCGCCGGGCTGGGGGCCGGGCTGGGAGCCGGGCAGGCCGGGCTGGGCGCCGGGCTGGGGGCCGGGCAGGCCGCCGGGCTTGGGGCCGGGCAGGGAGCCGGGCTGTGAGCTGGGCAGGGCGCCGGGCGGGGGGCCGGGCTGTGAGCCGGGCGGAGCCCCGGGCTGGGCGCCGGGCTGGGCGCCGGGCTGGGCGCCGGGCTGGGACCCGGGCTGGGAGCCGGGCAGGCCGGGCTGGGCGCCGGGCTGGGAGCCGGGCAGGCCGCCAGGAATTGGGGCCGGGCAGGGAGCCGGGCTGTGCGCCGGGCTGGGCGCCGGGCGGGGAGCCGGGCTGTGAGCCGGGCGGTGCCCCGGGCTGGGCGCTGGGCTGGCCGCCGGGCTGGGAGCCAGGCGCGGCGTTGGGCTTGGCGCCGGGCTGGGAGCCGGGCTGGGAGCCAGGCAGGCCGCTGGGCTTAGGGCCGGGCTGGGCCCTGGGCTGGGAGCCAGGCAGCGTGTCGGGCTGAGCGCTGGGCTGGGGGCCGGGCGCGGGAGCCGGGCTGGGAGCCGGGCGGGGAGCCAGGCTGTGCTCCGGGCTGGGAGCCAGGCGGTTTGTTGGGCCGGCCGCCGGGCTGGGAGGCGGGCGTGGCGCGGGGCTTGGCGCCGGGCTGTGCGCCGGGCTGTGCGCCGGGCTGGGAGCCTGGCTGGGAGCCGCCGGGCTGGGAGCCGGGCCGAGAGTCGGGCAGGTGCCGGGCTTGGCGCCGGGCTGGGGGCCGACCAGGGCGTCGGGCTGGGGGCCGGGCAGGCCGCAGGGCTCAGAGCCGGGCAGGGCGTCGTCGCCAGGAGCCGTGCTGGGACTTTGGCAGGCCGCCCGGCTCGGCGCCGGGCTGGGAGCCAAGCTGCGCGCCGGGCTGCGCGCCGGGCTGTGCGCCGGGCTGGGTGCCGGGCTGCGCGCCGGGCAGGCCGCCGGGCTGGGAGCCGGGCTGGGAGCCGGGCTGGGCCCCGGGCTGGGCGCCGGGCTGGCAGCCGCAACAGGGAACGCAGACAGGGAGCACCACGGGAACTTGTAACTACGCGTGCTGGGACGCATCCTGGTGTACGGGGGTGGTGATCTTGCTATACCTAGAACAGAAGCATGCAAGTGCTCTGAAGCGCAATGCATCACGCACACACGCACACATACACAAACACACACACACACACACACACACACATACGTGTGGGGGGGGGGGGGGGAAACACACGTTTGTTTTTTTCCTTTTTTTCCCACGTGTGTTTTTCCTTCATGAAGTTTCCTGGGGCCCTCTTTGGGCCGTCGTGGAGCCTCCCGTGGCCTCTGGGCCCCCTGGGCCCAGAGGCCAGGTTGGATCCCCCCCCTCCCCCCTGGGCGTCCTGGACGTGTGCGAACACGTGGCCCCATCTCGGGACAACCAAGTTAGACACCTCCATTTTCTTCTGGGGGGGCCTGGACACGTAAAAACGTGTTTCCCGCTGGGGGCAACCGCGTGAGAGACTCCACTGTTGCTTGGATTCGTGACAGCACGTGGTTCCTGTTCGGGGCAACGATGCGAGGTACCCCCCCAGGGCGGCCTGGACACGCATAAACACGTGGTTCCAGCTTTGGACAACCATGTTCGACACCCCCGTGAGTGGCCTGGACACATAAAGGCGAGTTGCAAATAGACGGGCGCCAGAGGCATGTTGAATATCCCCTGCGCGCACGTATGTTCGTGTGTGAAGAGGCCAACGACCTTATGTTAAACATCCCCCTGGGCGCACTCTCTTCGAGCGGGCACGCACGGGACGCACTTTGTCGACCAAAGAGTGGGCGGCACCCTGTGTTCTACCGGATTTTCACACACCAGCGCTTCGCTCGGGACATCATCAAGAATCCGCCGAGCAAATCGGCGTGTGTGAGACGCTGTCGTCGTCTTCGTCGTCGTCGTCGCCCGTCCCAAACGGATCTAGAAACGATCAGAAAAATGAAACGGCGTAAAAGAAACGCTGTGGTTAACTCATTCGCCCCCCTTTCCCTCCCTGGCATTGGGGGGGGGGATGGGGGAGGTAGAGACCTCTGGCACGGGCATCATCCCATCCCTGCTGCATGTGCCCGACTGCACGACCGAGGCATATCCATCTGATGCCGAAGATCGATCGTGATCTTGATGTACTGCATGGTGAGATGTTTGCCACGGATGTGATGCGGGGCTGGCGTGGCCGTGAGCTTTCGGATGGGTGCTGGCGCCTGTCCGCGCGGTGGCATCGAGCCGCATGGGATAACATTGTAGTGACACTTCTGGCAAGTTGGCTGTTGGTGGTGATGGGGAGTGTGGTGGCGTATAGCCGTGGCGTACACGTGATGGTCGACGTGGCCGTCGACTGGCGTATCGTCACATGTAAGCCAACGGCCTCGCTAAGTTCCACCAAAGAACGTTGGCGCAATAGAAACCTTCATGTTAGTAGTCCACCAAACTGTGCCGTGGAAAGCATTTTCGAACCAGAGCCAGTCACACGGTAGTGATGCCAGCTCCGCAGCCAAGTCGAAAGTGGCATGGTAAGCTGCAACACATCGACCGTCTTAGACGCTCCCCACATCCCAGCTGTGGCGCAGCGTAAGCAAGGAATAGCGAAAAAGGGGCATGGGACAGCACATGTGGAAGAGTGCATGATAGAAGTACGATGAACGTCTGCCTCACGCTGAAGTGGACAGGAGACACAATGGCAGCGGATAGCTCGCTTTGCTTGCCTCCAACCCCCGTCCAAAGTCCAAGAGGGCCCCAAGACGGACGGCCCAAGAGACCTCCCAAAAAGGCTTCACAGCCACCAAGAGGCGTCCCGGGAGGGGGAACACGAACTAAGCTTTCGAGCCCGTTCCCGAAAGATGGCCCCCGAGACTGCCAGCAACCCTCCAAGACGCCCCCAAGAGACCCCCAGAGGCCCCCCAGGGGTCCCCAAGAGGCCCCAAAACTGCCCCCGCGAGCGCAGGCAAGTGCCCCGAAACTACGATACAATCCTCCCACAAGGCCTTCCAGAAACCTTCATTTCGACCCGCCAACGGTGATACGAAGTGGGTCGTCGAAGTGAGCGAAGCGATTGAATAACATCGGCTGGTCAGTGAACAACCAGTCTGTCCGGACGTGGTGCCGCGAAACGCTGTGGATACAGTCGAACCCAACTGGCCCAAGACGGCCACGATGCGACCGCTCGTCGGCCCACGAGAACTCAAATCCGCCGACACCCGCTTGCTCGGGGTGACAAGGCGCGCGAGATGATTGGCAGTCCCCCTCCCCCTTTCCCCCTCTCCTGGGGCCGGGGGTGGGTGGGGGTATGTGGGGGTGTGATGGCGGGGCTCCCCGTCGCACCCAGTGGGCTCCCCGGAGCCTTCACAGAGCCCTAAGGCGGCCCAGTGAGCGCCGAGATAATCCAAGAGAGCGTCGAAACTGCCCAGGATAACCCCGCGACGGTCCAAGATGGCTTCAAGACGGCCTACGAGGCTCCCAAGGTGCAGACATCGCTCCATTCCATGCGGAGCACGTGCATTTCCGGCGTGCACGCCTTTTTCGTCCTAGCAACGTCCACTGCGAACCAAGGAGCCCCCAAAATCGTTCCAAGACAGACCATGAGGGCCCCAAGAGGGCTCCAAGACGGCCCAATAGAGCCCCAGAGGGCCCCAAGACGGCCCCAAGGCCCCTGAGATGGCCCAGGAGAACCCCAAAAGGGGCAATACGAACTGACCTCTCGAGTCTTTCCTGCCGTGTTGGCCCCACGAGCCCCCAATGGCCCCCGAGGCGCCCCCAAGAAGCCCCAAGAGGCTTCCGAGAGGCACCCATGATGCCTCCAAGGGGCCCCCGAGAGGCCCCAAGAGCCCTCCAAGGGACACCTGAAAGGCATTCCAAGAGACCCTCAGGTGCATCCCCGAGGCTCGTGACTCACAGGCCAGGCGCGATGACACGATTCTTGACGGCTCTGGAGGTCGGCGGAACGGAGCAAACATCTTGAACGCCTTCGACTGCTCCGTGACCCCAGCAAGCCCAGACGTGGTGCCGCGAAGCGCCGTGGATATAGATCCCCGCTTCAACACAATCATTTTCCTCCCCGACTTCATCCTCCAAGTCATAATCCCGTCTTGCAGCGTCCTGTCAGAAACGAAGCAGGACACCCTTCCGTGTCCGACTTCTCTCGGGGGTAGCTGGGAGGGCGTGACCCCCACAGGAATAGCAAACTGGCCAGGAAGGCGCGAAGAGACTGAGGACCACAGGAAAAGTCAGGGCACGAGCCGCTTCGCATCAGGCGGCGAGAACCCCCCTTCTGCGGCTCGGCGCAAGCCTCGATCGTGCTGCACCCCACGGCGTCGAAACATCTGTGGCGCCGGCGGCGGGGGTCCGTCGGCCGATGTGGGCCAGGGCCGACGGGGGCCGAATGGCGAAGGACGACCATCGGTACGAATAAATTAAGACCGAACGGTCATGGTGTGACACAATCGCATGCGCGGAAAGCACAGCTACGCACCGCGACGGCACACTCAGACCCCGCGCGGCGGCCCTCAACCTGTGGCTCCGCGCCCACCACTAGTGTGCACCAGGAGAAGGGACGGGGAGCAGGGAGCAGAGACGAGGCGAGGAAGAGGGTGACAGCCCCAGGAGGAGGAGGAGACCCCAACCACCAAAGAAGCTCTTTCGGTGAACTCGCTCTACTGGAAGAGGCCCCGCAGGATGACCGACCTCCTGCTAAGGGCCCTTGCCCGAACCTGAAACAGATAATCCGCATGAGACCTTTCAATTATGTCATTCATTTTTGACTGTTGAACGTGCTGAAACACAACTCGAGAGAGAGAGAGAGAGAGACGGCAAGCGCACGGAGATGCTCGCCCGAAGACCGCGTGCATTTGCGCATGAACACGCGATCTTCAAATGAATGCTGAACCCAGTCAAATGGGAGCGACGGGAGACAACGGGAGGCAGAGGCCAGGAAGACAGGGCAAGTGAGATAATGGGAGATGGGATCACCTCCGATGGCCATGCAACCGAGACGGCACTGCAAGGTCCCCTGTCGGAACCGTTTGGATGTGCACCAGGAATTACAAACAGTTTTGAGAACACTAACACCGATAAATTCGGGGAGAGCTTTGTTCAATAAGCGCAGTTGGAAAACATAATCTTTGGCCTCAGAAGCGGGCGCCTCAGGGGTCCAGTATCGGAGCCTAAGGAGCAGTCTACTGGCACTAAGAGTTACAGAAATGCAGGGGCCTCAGGGCACGCTCAGATTTATGTTGAAGACCTTTGCAAGGCTCTTGGGGCACTCGAGGAATCTGCCAAACTCTGTCATATAGTTCAATCGTTTGGTACATGATGCACGACTTCCGCCAGCTGGGGAGAGTCGGGACCAGGGTTCTGTCGATGCTATCATCTGCGGCAACCAGAGCTTCCCGACCGCGGGGGCACGCCGAGGAGGAAAACGCACTACGATATCAGGCAACCTCGCTAACCAGACCGAAGCTCCGCCACTCGGTGCTGAATGACAGATCCTTGAAATCGCGCAGGCTGTCCGACAAAAAGGGATAGAACACCTCGGAGCAGCAGTGAGAAACTGGACTCTCTCTCTCTCTCTCTCTCTTGTGTCAGGGCTTCATGGCTAGGAGGGTAGAACTGCATGATATATGATAGAACAGTGATGCCGCACGTGTTACAGGCCACAATGTTCCTCACGAGAGATTCTTTGAGAGCCCGAATGAGGAGGCCCCTATCACGGCATTTGGCAATCGGCTCATCCCATACTGTGAGATGTGCTTATGGCCCCAAGCAAGCACAGAGATAAAGGACGTTAGGAACAATACGAAACCGACGAATCCGAACTCCTCTCGAGGGGGAGAGGAGTTCGGGCGAGGCGGAGGAGGGTGATGGGGAGAAAGAAGAGGAGGGGGAGGAGGAGGAAGAGGAGGAGCAGCAGGAAAAAGAGGAGGAAGAGAAGGACGAAGAGGACGAACGGGAAGATTTTGAGAAAGGGGAGGACGGATTAGTGGGAGGAAACGGAGGAGGAGGAGGAGGAGGAGAAGGAGCCCGATCCCACCTGGAAGGTCATCCGAGGCACCCGCACTCGCGCCCGACAGAGACTATCGCCGCGCCAGAGCCCGCGCCCTGGCATCCCGTCGGCAAACAAGGCGGAGTCGGCCAGCCGCGAGCCGTGTCGCTCGAGATGCGCTTTGGGCTCCCTCGGATCTAAGTTGATTAAACGTGTTTAATAATGCATCGTGTGCAATGGCGATGGAGACAGCTTCTTTCGCACGAGAGAGGCAAGGGAACTAAGCAGGAGCCCGGCAAACACCTCCGCCCCCCACCATGGTGGGAGCCTGGGCAGATTAGCGCGAATCACTTCGAGGAGAACAGGACAGACTAGATAATGAACGAGTTGATCACCAGCAACACACTGGCGTCCAAACCTGCGCCCCAGGGTGGCCTGGTGGTATCTCCGAGAGGTATTCCAAGCATTGCAGAGGCTGCGCAATAGACTGAGTTGAACAAAAGGAGCAATATGTTGTCCGACCAGCTTTAGCCGAGAGAAACACAACCGAGATTCAGGGCCCCCAACTTGGCCAGCTTCAGGAAACCTCGCGACCCAGTACTGCAGACGTCTCAGAATAAGTTCAGGAAACGGGACCAGGGGATGATGAGAGAGAACAAATTTGGCCATTTCTTTTGAAACCCAGGCTCGAAGACAGCGGGGGCTGACGGAATTCTGGATAATTCACGATAATTCTGGGCCATCATACTCACGAACGACCTAGTGTATACCGGATGAAGATGGGCATCAAGGTGGCGTTCGGGGTCCTCGAACGCGTCCTCAATTTTCTCGATGCAGGCAAAAAAGACAGAGGAGGCGAGCGCGGCGCGATATGCGGCTGCACGAGCTTCGTGGGGGAGAGACCTGGCCCGAATCATCTCTCCCCCGAGTGCCTTCATTCCCAACAGCATGTGATCAGACAAGGCGTGTCGTGGAGCGCACGGTAAAGACTGCAGACCGAGATGCACTTGCCAGCAACAGTCGGCCGTGGGCGGAAAGAACTGGGCGATGAACATGAGCGCAGAGACCGCTATCTGGTTGTACGCCACTAGAGACATCGACCGGCCTATCTTCAGGGACTTACTGAAGCGGCAGCGATCTCGGAACTTGACTAGCGGGGCGGCCCAGGACTCCTCTTGTGCTCTGATCCCGCACATAACTCCAAGATGCCTGGCGCACTTGGCCATCCCGAAGCTCCGAACCCTGATCCCCTGCTGCTGGAACTTCCTCTCCTCCTCCTCCCTGTTGAAGTCGCGGTAAAACAGGATCACCTTTGATTAGGGGTCGGGATGGGGCCAGCGGCGAGCCCTGCGAGCATCATGACTTTCATGAAAACAGGCACGACAAAGTAGATGTCAAATGAGGCAGAAGCAACATCATCAGCGAAGGCGCCGTGCAAGTGGACAGGTCGGGGCAGCCGAAGACAGAGCAGACGTAAAATCGGATCGAACCCCAGGGCGAACGCACTTCCCGAAAGCGGACATCCTTGCTTGATCCCGCGGAGGACCCGAAAAGAACAATGGGGCACCCCGCCCAGGAGAATGGCGGTGGTAACCTTGGCGTAGAGCGTCTTCATCGCGTTCAGCGCGAAAGCGGGGAAGTTCATTTTCTCGCATGCAAAAAAGATCCACTCGTGGCAGAGGCTGGGGAAGGCGGCCGTAATGTCCAGCAGGCTCGCGCCTGCTGAACGACGCCGCAGCAGGCCTGAACCTACGACCATGTGCGTCTCAAACTCAATCAGGTTGTCTAGCATGTTTCGGTGTTTGACGAAGCCTCTTTGGATCCCAATGGCGGTGTCCACGCAAACCTCTTTCAGGCGGCAATTGATCGCGACAGCGACAATCTTGTTGATCGAGTTGGATAGGGAGATAGGACGGGTCATTTCAAGAGCCCCCCAAAGCTCAAACCCGTCGCGGTCCAGGGGGCCTTTGGGGAGGAAGACTGAATTACTGAAATCGTCCGAGACCCGGCCGAAATCCATGATGTGCTGGTGCGTGGCGAAGGCGGCCCACCCAACGAAGCAATTTCCCTCTAGCTGGCCCCTCGCTGCACTCTGAGACGGAACAGAAGCGCGAACTCGGCTCCAGCGAGCGGCAAGAGCTTGAGCCCCAGCTCCGACGGTCGGGAAAGCGTTCCCGTCGGCATCCGCGATGCCCGCGGGGGAGATTCTCCGATTCTTCGGAGACCAGGCCGATGCCAATCGCTGAAGACGTGCAGCTCGGTGCTCATAAAATTGGGGGGATCCCGTTGTATGTCCAATGATTTCCGCATATTCTCTTTGGTATCGAGCAGCAGCAATCTTGGCCATATACTCTTGAAAAGGCTAGCTGGTTGTGCCACCTGCCACAGTCAGGATCGAGAAAGTCGAGCAGCGCGGGGATGGCCTTGACAGCCTTCTTCAGCGCGCTAATCTTGCGGCACCGCATGGCGCGATTCACCGCGAACAGCCACTGCAGATGCTGCTCGGCGGTGCTAGGCGGGAGCTCAGAAAGACGATGCTGTACGAGACGGCCTGCTTCGCGCATCAGACAGGTGAGCTCTTCAACCATCAGCGGAGGATTATCTTCGCACACCCCGTGCTCGTTGATCAACTTTTCGAGCAGGATCGGATGCAGAGGGTGGCGAGAGACCCAAGACGCAACGGACCGAGCGCGGTTGTCTCCACCTCCGTTCAGATGTAGGTGCGCCGGGGCGCGGTCGCTCGGAAGGTCGGCTTTGCACATATTCCAGGAGGTCCCAGAGGTCGGCTTCAAGTCCAGGAGGTCCCCAGTAAACATGTTGGTGTAAATGCGGTCGGTCCTGGACACGCTTACCGCGTTCCCATCCCGAGCGGCGTGGTGGGTCGGATTTTCTTGGCAGCATTCCATAACATTAGGCAATGAAGACCAGAGCTTGTGAGCGAGGGAGTCGGGGCTGTTGATCTGCACAGAGCCGTCTACGCGCTGGGTGCCCTCGCCCAGCTCGCAAAAGTTGAAGTCTCCAACAAAGAAGAAGGCCCTGGACAGTATGCAAAAAGTCGGCGCACATGCGAAGGATTCGGATTTCCCCTCTGTGGCGACTGTTCGGGTCGAGGTGGAGGTTCAGGAGGTGAGCGAGAAAGAGTCAGACTGGATAGAGACGGCATGAAGACGACGAGGAATAACGACAGCACGGTGATGTCGAGGAAGCAGAGCGAGAAGAGAGCGAGCGAGCATAATCGCGTTCCCGCCGGCGTGGCCGTCGGGGCTGAACGTGCAGAAAGATTCAAAGCCAGGGAACTCGGTGCGCAAAGATTCGCGGTCCCCTTCGTGGCCGTGCGTCTCTTGTAAGCAAATGATATTGCTTGCTCTAGTTAGGTTAGCGAGTCGATCGAAGGTTCTGACCTGAGTGTCGCGGCCCCCAGAGACCGCGCCGAACAGGGCATGGCAGTCCCGGGTAACAATCCGAATGCCGCGACCATTGGCCAGAGACGGCAGAAAAGTTAAGCGAAAACCCTCGGGGTCCTCGGGCGAAGGTGGCTGGGCTCCAAAAGCCAGCATTCGACAGAACAGGCGAACAGAAAGCGGAGGACGCGGAGGCAGCGGGGGGAGAAGCAAGCGGCAGAGGCAACGAAGCAGCGGGAACAAACGGAAAACTTGCACGCGATACTAGGCTGGCATCATTTCAATACTGCTGGACGGGGCCTGGGCCTGCTCGATCATCCAGTTGGCGGTCGTCTCGGAGATTTTCCAGTCCGAGAGCTGGTCACTGATCGGCTTCAGCTCGTACATGCCACCAGGCGCGTCGGACAGCTTGAAGATCTCCCAGTGGTCGTTCTCGGTGGTGATGCTGAACGCGCCCTTGAACGGGTTAGTGCCGATCTTGACCGTCGGGTTCCACTTGCCCTCGTTCTCGAGGTGCTTGCGGATGCGCGGCCAGAGAGCACTCAAGACGCGGTTCTTCTGGCGGGCCTGCAGCGGCATATCTCTGCGGCATCGAAGCGGGTGGAGGGAGGCGTTGCGGTAGTCCTGCCACGCCACAGGGTTCGCGAGAAACCAGTCGTGGAAGTCACGGGCCTTCTGCTCGGAGCCGAAGGTGATGGCGAACGCCTGCGAAACTTTGTGGAAGTGCCCTGTCGCCCCATCGCTGAGGGCGGCAGGGGGCCTGGCTTTCATCTGGTTGAAGACGGCGCGCCTGTGGGGCTCAGTGACAAGCCGAGGGGAGCCACTGATCCAGCGCCTGGTCGGGTCGATCGGGTCGCGCTCGTCGGAGGCGAGGTCGATCACTGGAACCTCGGACGCGTTGGAGCCGACGCTGGTGGCCACTCCCATGCGGCAGGCCTTGGGCGGCGGACGAGTCGAAGAGGAGCCGGCGTCAGACGGGGCGCGTTGAAGTTCAACAAGGGACGCCTCGAGCCTGGTCATTTTCTCGTTCATCTGGCGCTGCACCTCGAGCCCTGCATTCTTGGCAGTGGGGTTGCCGTCCTCGGCGTCGAAGAAGGCGGCGTTGGTGGCGGCCTCGTGGTGAGCCTGTTCCAGTCGAGAACCTCGTAGATCCATGTCAGCCACTAGCGCTTCATGCGCGGCCTTGGCCTCGTCGAATTTGCCCTCCATGGCGAGCTCGAGATCCGAAATCTTCTCCTCGAGACCTTCCGCGACGGCGAGTCGTTCCTTGACATCCTTGATGTCGTTCCTAATGGCGGTTATACCGCCAGGAAAACCTTCGAGCACCTGAAGCAGCTGAGCATTGGATACTTCTGCTGTGGCCCTCGCGCTGGCAACGGACGAGACAGGAGTGATACGGGTAATGGTGTGAACAAGTTGGCAAAATGCCTCTCGAAGAGCGAAAAGGGTCAACCCCCGACCCTTGTGTCGCGGGCCAAGTCGGGAGCAGCCCTGCTCTGACCTGGCCAACTGCCTTGATGAAATAGCAACGTGAGCCAAAATGGCTACGGAGGAGGAGGGTAAGGGTAAGGGTAAGGGTACATGCGCCGAAGCGCGGCCGACAGGCCGACGGACGACTGGTTCTGCTGCGCACTGTCAAACGATCGATGGGGGTGGCCCTCGCCGCCTCGCCCATCTTAAAGTCGCTTTCGCTGGACCTCCCTCGCCCATCTGCCTTGGAGGGCATTGGCAAGGGGCTGGCGCCGGGGCCGCCTCAGCAGGCCTCTAGCCCGCGAGCTCCGCCTCCTCGGAGACTATGTCGGAGGCGTCGGCAGCCTGGGCGCGGGCCGCCTCGCGGCCGACACGGCGGACCTCCTCGAGGTCGTCCTCCGTGAGCCCGTAGCAGCGGAGCAGGAAGAGACGCGCCGCCCTCGGCTCGGGCCGCCTGCCCTGGGGCCCTGGCGCATCCGCCGGCGTGGCGGGAAGGCGCTCGTCGCCAGCAGCAGCGCGACGCCCGCCGCTCGCTGCCGCGGGCAGGCCCCCTTCCAGCTGGAGGTCGCCTGCGAGCTGCAGCTGCTCCTCGGGCCCTAGGGCAAAGGGCCCCTCGATCGCTCCACCTTGTCTCCCCTTGCCGTAGTGGGGCCAGCGCGAAAGGCGCACCAGCCGTAGCTGCTCTTTGCCTGCGCTGGACTCCCGCCCTCGGCACAAGTGCTTGAGCAGCTTGCCGGGCTTGCGGCCCGCCAAAACCCCGCCGCGCCGCAAGCAGAACACGAAGCGCATCTGGGGGTTTTCCGCCACTCGGCAGCGCAGGAGAGCGTGCCCTCTAGCCCTCCACGCGTGCCTGGCCAGGACGCAGCTCCACGTGCCCTGGGGCGCGCCCCTCCTGGCTTTGGGGACTGGCAGCCGCGCCTCCGGCTGGGCCTGCAGGACCCGCGTCGCCGACCGGCCCGCTGCCCTCGCATGCATTCTCGGGGGGCTGCTCCTTTGCAAGGGCCATCTCCTCGCTGAAGTCGTCGACGCCGAAGCCGAAGGCGTCTGAGCCCTGGGAGGCTGCCCCATGCTTGGTATCAACTGGGGCCCCCGCCGCTTCCGGCGCGAGCGGCGCGCCCCACCTGGGCGGGCCTGCCACCGCCCCTGGGGCTGGGGCAAAAGGAGTGCCTCCGGCAGCCGAGGGGGGAATTGGCACCCCCCGGAGCTGCAGCAGCAGCCGCCGCTGCCTCCTCCTTTTCATCTCCTCTTGCCGCCTCCTCGTCCTCTTGCCTGGGCCGCTCTTCCCGTCCGGCCTCCGCCTGGCTCTCCCTGACGGGGGCTCCACGCACGACGTCGCCGTCCGCGGCGGCTGCAGGGGCAGCGCCCTCGCTGAGTTGGGCGTGTCCGTGGAGCACATCCTCATGCCGCGGCCCCCCATCTTGGGCACGCCCCCCCTCCTTTCACGCCCCCCTTCAGAAGGGGGGGCAGGGGTGGTACAACAGTTGCCCCCATTTTACGCGGGGCAGGGGAGCATCGGCATAGCGCCAGCATGAGTAGCAGCCTCGGCAGGCCTGTCATCGCCACGCGACTGGGACACGCTAGCTTGCACTTGGGAGCGTGAGTAGGTTAGCTCCCCAGCTCCAGACATTGTCCGTCATGATATGTGCGTGCTGCCCCCCTGGCCGCGTGGGCCGATTACGCCCCGGGCGACCCCGAGGGACCGTTTTGAGTGATTTGTTTTGCGTCCTCGCCGGCAAAAATATGGAGGCGGCGTCGCCTTGTAGAGTGACGGACAGGACGGCGCCGCGCAACACGGCAACGAAAATGTCACGAATTTCGGTTTGCCGGGGGGGGGCAAGCGCAACGAATTCCCCCCCCCCCCCGCTGGGTAGCAGGAAAACTTTACAGTTGACGCAACCCCTTTCTAGACCCACCTGGAACTTGCGCGGAATACCCAATGAGCCCCCATCGTGGAGCCCGCCGGGGCGTATTGGGAGTCCTATGTGGGGTCTCTCAGGCCCCTCGTGGGGGCTGCCTGTAGCTCCTTTTTGGGGCTTCTTGGGACCCCTCTTTGGGGCCTCCCTGCGCTTCCGCACTGCTCCCCCCCAGGAGCCCCGCCGCATGGGTCCCTTGGACCTCCTTGTAGGGTCCTCTTGAGCCCCTCGCGGTGGCTCCTTGATTCCCTCATGAAGGTTACTTGGGTCCCCTTAGGGGAACTCATTGGGACTTACCTCGCGCCCGGTGTTTCACCAGGCCCGGCCCAGAGCAGCCACTTTGCACCGGCGAGCTGCCCAGCTCACCGGTGTTCTCACCTGGCACGGCGGCAACAGCCGCACTACACTGGTGGGCTGCCTAGCTCACCGGTGGCTTTTCCAGGCGTGGCCAATGGGCCCCACCTGACCCGCCGAAGCAGCCACCGTACTAGAACCGATCGCCACCGGGCGGGAGTAGTTTTGCCCCCCTCGGATTCTGAGTGCCGGCGGGTCCAGAGCTCGGAACGCACGTGGGTCGTGCTGACCCGCCCTACTTGCAAGCAAGTTAGTATATGGGGGCAGCGAGCAGAATGTCCTTCACACGGGGCCCTCTTGTGAACGGATGGAGAGTACCCAGCCGATGAGGACGGGAGGGGGGCCATGTAAATGAGAAATGCCTAGCCGACGACGTGCCCGGTGCGGAAGTACAACGCACTAGGGGGATAGGACAGATACAGAGAGATCACGACAGAGACGGCGACGAGGAGGCGCAGTAATCACGCAGGAGAAAATAAATTGCACCCCAATGCAAGACGCAACGAACATGTCACGAATTTCGTTGTTCCGAAGTGACGTGCGGCGCTATGCAGCACACTGGAAGCAAATGCAGCATGCGCGCGGTGCGATGCAACACAGCAAATATGACACACTGCGGCACCATGTAAACAGCGACAGCAAAACGAAGGATGGGGGAGTTGGTGCGCTAGCGTCACATATAGGTTTACCGGCGGCGGAGTATAGGGGCATCCACCACCTATTTTGCACATGGATGGCGGCCGGAAGGGGACCGAAGCGGCGTCGGCGACGGCGGCGGGGGCCGAACCGAACGACCGAAAGACGAGGAGGCTGGGAACGAGGCTGTCTGCTATCGCGGGAGTTTCCTCCGGCAGAATAGTCCGCTTGAATCCCCCGATCCCCCTGATTCCTGGCTAACGCCAGTCGTCCAGCATTCCTGGCTAACGCCAGTCATGCGGAAGCGGGCCGAATTTCGCCTTGGCCGCCCCGACCCCTTGAACTGGCTGAGGCCTGGTTATCTCCAGTCATGCAGCAGTCCTGGCTGACGCCAGCCGTGCGGAATCCGGCCACCGTGTAGCCGCCCCGACCCCTCCTGAGTAAGACGCGTTATGCGTTGTTCTCCCCGACCCCCCCAGGGGAGTTGATCCCTGGCTAACGCCAGTCGTGCATCCGTCCTGGCTTACGCCAGTCGTGTGGACACAGGCCGGACTTTGGTCAGCCGCCCATCCCCCCCTGAACTAACGTGATTCTGGCTAACGCCAGCCATGCAGCAGTACTGGCTGACGCCTGTCGCGCGGAGGCAGCCGAACTACGAATCACCCCTCCTCCCCTTGAACTGATTCCTGGCTAACGCCAGTCATGCAGCAGTCCTGGCTGACGCCATTCCTGCGAGCGCAAGTCGGATTCTGGTTAACCGCCCCTACCCTGCCTGAACTAGCGTGGCTCTGGCTAACGCCAGCCATGCAGCAGTCCTGGCTGACGCCAGTCGTGCGGAGGCAGCCGGACTACGAGTACCCCACATCCCCCCTGAACCGATTCCTGGCTAACGCCAGTCGTGTAGCAGTCCTGGCAAACGCCAGTCCTGCGAGCGAAGCTGGATTTTGGTTAGCCGCCCCTACCACACCTGAACTAGCCTGGCCCTGGCTACCACCAGGCATGCAGCAGAGATGGCTGACGCCAGTCGTGCGGAGGCAGCCGAATTACGAGCCCCCCTTACCCCACCCGAACTGAATCCTGGCTAACGCCAGGCGTGCAGTAGCCTTTTGATTAGTCGCCCCGACCCCCCCCTGAACTTGCGCGGCTCTGGCTACCGCCAGGCCTACAGCAGTCCTGGCTGACGCCTGCCGTGCGGAGGCAGCCGAGTTACTAGTCATCCCTTCCCCCCTGAACTGATTCCTGGCTAACGCCAGGCGTGCAGCAGTCCTGGCTAACGCCAGACCTGCGGGCGTCTGCTGAATTAAGCCTTTGTCGCCCCGACCCCCACTCCCTGGCCCTCGTGGTCGGGGTGCTCGTCGGGCCCCTGAAGGGGCCCTTAAAGGCTGCCCCGTGCGTCCCCGACCACTTCGAGAACCAAGGAGGCAGGGGGGTCATCGGCACGGGGGCTACGGAGGAGGAGGAGGAGCAGGAGGAGGAAGAGGAGGAGGAAGAAGAGGAGAAGGAAGGGAAGGATGAATAGGAGGAGGGATAGGTAGAGGAGGAGGATGCGCCCGACGAAGAACATGCCGAGATGGTGGATGCGAATACGGGATGGGAGAAGGTGGAGTGGAGGTATAGACGACGAGGGAAAAACGTTGGTGAGGAAGAGACGGGGAAGGTAGAACAGACGAGGGGATGGGGAGGAAACGGACGAGGAATGACGCGGACGAAAAGGACGAGGGGAACAGAATAGTCAAGCCGGCAAAAATAATACAACACGCAAAAACGAGCGGGGAAACAACATTACTACTGCGTCGGATATCGGAACCTGTAGTTCGCATGCGCAGGCGGAACAAGCCGTAAAACAAATAATAACTCATTGGCACTGGGTGGCATCGGAAATCCCTGAGGTGTCCCCGCGCAAGTATTCATGGGCATGGTGGTAAAACCGCACCCGCCCCGAAAGCACAACATGTAGAGAACGATCATGCCTGTGCTTCGCCTGGCCATACAGATTGCGTGACGTACTGGTATGGCGATCACGCGGACATGCTTGCCAGTCTGACGGCGTGCCGACCTCTGCGAAAACAGGCGGCTATGGCGATGTCCTGGCCATCGCTCGGACGTCCCTTCCCTGTGTTTGTGTCGGTTTCGTGCGCGGTTTTTTCGCAGGATGATCCAGGATGCTCCTTTTATAACCCCCGCCGAGGAAAAGTGCACACGTCCGAGCGATACCAAGATTTGGCCCACGGGTGGAGGAGGAGAGCGGGTCTGTCTGGGCCGGTGCCAATCGCGCCAACAGTCTAATTGGGGGGGAAGGGGCCCCGATCAGTCGCCCATAGCAGCCAAGGGCTTGTCTGTGGCGGGGGCTGAGGAGAGAGGCCAGGGGCCCGCGCCGATCGGCGAGCCAACACATAAACTACTCGACGCGGAGATCCATCCCCACTCGTGCATCTCGTACTCCTGGTCTCGGTTATGCTGAAGAGCCTTGCCTGTGAACATCTGGGTGTGAGAGGGAGCCCACGTAGACAGCAGCGCGGTAATGCCGTCGACGACAGCAACGACTTCAGTGACGTCCTCCTTCCCCCCCGGACATCTTTCAGGAGAGACGAGGGTAAAACAAGTGGAAGAGCGACAAAGAATTCCTCTTGCCGTTGCCCACCCGGCAACTCAGGCAAGCGCGCATGGCGTTGCTACGCCCGCTCTCTTGCGTGCTACTCGCGGCGCCTGCTGGCATTTGAGGTGCTCAGGCGCGACGTCGGCTATATCGCGGTAGCCACTTGCATGTGAGCCTTAGTGCGAATGAATATGAGCGTGGGTGATCTCAGTGTGAGCGAGTCAGAATGTGAGTGGGCCCGGGTATGATCGAGCCTGTACTAGTGGGTATGAGTGTGAGTGAGTCTGAGTGCGAGCGAGACTAAGTGCGAGTGGGTCTGCGTGGAGCGAGTCTGAGTGTGGGAATCGGATGAGCATGAATCGAATACGAGTGAGCCGGGGTGCGAGGTATTCTGCGTACGAATGAATATGAGGGCTGGTGAGTCTGAGTGCAAATGAGTCTGACTGTGAGTTGGTCTGGGTGTGGGTGAGTTTGAGTTTGAGCGAGTAAGGATGTGTGAGTCTGAGAATGATCGAATATGATTATCGGCAAGTCTGAATGCGATGAGTGAGCCAGAGCGAGGAAGGGGTGCTCATGAGCAAGTCCGAGTGCGAATGAGTGCGTCCGAACTGTGAAAAGGGTAAGAAGGTGAGTGAGTGAATGAACGAGCGAAGAGCACACAAATCCAAAGAACACTCCGGGGGCAAAAACAAACAAACCGCCTGAAACACCCCCCTAAACCTGAGCGCGACTCCCGGCGTGTCCCCACCCGCTGCGGCTCCGCCTTGGGGCGCCCAAGTGCCACGCCTGCTTTATCACTGTGAGCACTGAACAGCATCAGATAAACATGACGGGGCAGAAGCAGGAGAAAACAACCTGAGACATTCCCACAATCCTGTCGCGAAACCTGGAGGGTCGTCCCTGGCGGGTCCCCTCTGGGGTGCCCAAGTGCCACGCCTGCCACATCGTGGTGAGCATGGGACCATCCAAAGCAAAGAGCACGGGGGGCAGAAATGAGCAAACCGCCTGAGACATCCTCGCACACTTTTCTGAGAGCAGCGGATACAGTCAAAAACCCTGTAAGGACGCGCGGTAAGGACGCAAGACCCCTGGAAGCCGAAGTTGGGATTTTTGGGGCGGCGGACGACGAAAACCACAAGGACGCAAGAGCAAGGAATAGCAAGGACGCAAGGGTACCCTGAGCAAAGTCGCGCGTCCTTATTATTAGGGTTTTTTGACTGTATGGGAGGCAGAAATAAGCAAACCGCCCGAGACATCCTCGCCCACTGTTCTGAGAACAGCGGATATTGGGCACGCAAACGGGCAGGCCGACCGATACACCCCCACAACCTGGGCGCGACGCCTGGAGTGTCCTGACAGCCTGGCGCCCCCCCTTAGGAATGCTGAAGCCAACGCCTCGCCTGATATATCCTGAAAATCTGCTCCAGCATTAAAAGGATGTTGGGCACGCAAGCAAGCACACCGCCTGAGGCATCCACCCAATCTGGGCGCGAATCCTGGAGTGTCCTGACTCCTGGCGCCCCCTTTGGAGTGCTGAAACCAGCGCCTCGCCTAAGACATCATCAGAAACTGCTCCGAAAACAAAGGATGTTTCTTCTTTTCCGCGGATCGCCCCTCTTCGGGTTGATGAGACTGCTAGACTCAGCATTCACGGGTGAAACTTCTGCTTCAGAAAAGCGGTCGCGATGTCCAGTGCGATTACCTCCATTTGAAATGCCGATCTCGCTTGGTCAACGTCCCCTGGCCCCTGGCGCCCCCTCCTTGGGGTGCCCAAGTGCTACGCCTGCTATATCGCGGTGAGCATTGGACCATTAATGAGTGCGAGTGAGCCTGACTCTGACTATGGGAAGAATCTGAGTGCGAGTTGGTGTGAGTGTGAGTGAGTCCGAGAGTGAATGGATCTCAGTGTGAGTGAGTCTCGACTGTGCATGAATCTGAGTGAAAGTGAGTCTGAGTATGAGTGAGTCTGAGTGTGAGTTAGTCTCCACTGTGCATGAATCTGAGTGTGAGTGAGTCAGAGTATGAGTGAGTCTGATTGTGAGTGAGTCTGAATATGACTGAGTATGGGTGAGTCTGAGTGTGAATGATATCACTCTGGTTGGGGAAGAGGAGGAAGAGGAGGTGAGGAGAAGGTTCTCGGAACCGTAGGAATCGTAACAAGAGCCCCATCTTAGGATGTGAGAAATAACGGCGACCTGTGTTGACTCCGGGTTCTCTTATGACTCGCCCGCTGACGGCGTCAATCGAAACGGCCCTGGACCAATCGACGATGGCCACACGTCACCATCGCACGGCAGGTGGAAAGAATCCCCACGGCCTCCTTGGCCCGTCCAGCTCGCAAGACGAAACACCATAATTAATGCTTCGACGGGGCACGTGGGTCATCCCTTGATCCTTCCCTCGAGTGCGGGCGACCCCTCGATGCGCGGCAGCGGGGAGGGTGGAGGGAATCAACAGGCGACATAACATGCAAAGCGACGGAGGGGAATCAAATAGGCCATACTCTAGGGACTAAACAAGCTATATCCTTATATGCGTCAGAACGAGAATTGGCGGAGCGCAGAGGGGGGTGTGGGGGAGGGGGGAAGGCTTGTTAGAAAGAGGCTGCTTCTTAGAAGGCAAGAAGGCACCGGCTTTCACCTTATAGATAAAACCCGCGCCTTCTAGGAAGCAAGGGTGCTTCTAAGAAGCCTTCCCCCCTCCCCCTGCCCCTCTCTGCGCGTGGCCGGAAGAAGAGCACGCGGGTTGCCCGCGACCGGGGGGGGCCTGACCGCTCTTGCCGACAGATTGGAAGATGGAGGGAGGGGGCGCAGCACTGCTGCCGCTCCCCGTCCCCGCCCAGGCGCGGGGAAAGGGGGGCCCTGGGCGGGGCTGCGTCTTAGTCGGGTGCTCCCTCCGCGCGAGAGCGTCGTGCTCCATCGAGGCCGCTGGAAGCGCGGAAAGGCGCGACACGCTCCGCGCACTGGACGCCCTCTACGTGCGCCTTCCCTCTGCATGAGCCCGGCTCCCCCTGGCCCGAATCTGCGGAAACCTGGCCACGGCGCCTATTGTTTTTCTACGGGTGGCTTGGCACTTTGGAGAGGCACCCAGTTTCTAAAGAAGAGGAGATCGAGGATGCCCTTCTCTGCCGACGGCATCCAAGGTGGCCCCGAACATTCCAGAAAGCCCCGGTCACAAGTCCGTGGCCGCGAAGAGGGGCAGGCCTGAATGGCGTCCGCACTGCGGGGCTACGCTTAAGTCGGGCCTGTCCCCCTACAAGGGGATTCGACGAAAAATACAAAATACACCAAACATAATCAAAAATAATCCAGAAATAATATGGGGATTATGTTTTGGGTATGTGTGGCCTCTTTGGACTATGTTAGGGGTATTTTATATTTTTCGTCGACAATCCCTCTGTAGGGGGACGCGCCCGACATAAGGCTACGTGCGAAGACCAGCAACACCGCTTCTGGGGGCCGAAGCCAAGCGCAGCGCGCTCGTGACGGGGAGCCCCTCGGTGGCTGCCATACAGAGCTCGCCTGCCTGCCGTGTTTCCGCTCGGCGTCCGCCTGGCCGCACCTGCTGCCCCCGCGCCCGCGCTCTCCGCGCCCTCCGCGCCGCTCCCGTCTGCAGATGGCGCGGCGTGGTGCCAGCCCTGGACCGACCGCGTGTGTGCAAGCTCTTCGGCACCGCCTGCACCCCGGGCCCCGCCCACTCTGGCCGCCTGAGGCCCCGCCTGTGCCTGTGCCCTGTCTCCCTAATTAAAGCTGTGCGTAGCCCGCCTAGCTTTTATTAGCGGAAGAGGTTCGCTCTCGCCCCGCCGACCAAAAAATGTATGTGTGCATGTGCACATACGTGCGTGCGCCCGACAGACCCGCATCTGGCCCGCACCGGGTTTGGCCTGCGTTTGGAGGATGCCACGGGCGCGCAGACCGACCGCAGTGGTCGGGCCGACGGGGCGCAGACTACGCAGCGCACCGAGCTCACGGCAGCCGTACAAGCGCTCCACGCCGCCCAGCAGCCGTTCAGCTCATCGCGCTGAACTGTTGGTTCGGGATGCTGACGCCTGACGCCGCAGCGGATCACGGGCCGCCTCGGCGAAGACGGCGCGGCTGCGCGCGGGACGCCCGCCGAGGCGCGGCTGACGATGTCGCCGCGGACCAGGATGCAATGGCAGCAGCATCCGCGCGACTGCCGCCAGCGAGCCTCCTGCTCGCGGAGTCACGCTGCACGCCATCCAGACGCTGCTGAAGGGGCCCCAGGACACACAAATAAATACACAAATGGCAAGATTCCCCATATTTCAAATATTTTCAAGGTTTCGGTCTCCCCCCCCACTTCCCATATGTTCCAATATTTTCTGGAGGATCGAGGGTTCATTGTGTCTGTGTGTTTTTGTTCCCCCCTGAGCTGCGAGCGATGCCGGCCGAGGTCGAGCTGGCGGCGGTCGCGGCAGCTCGAAGCAAGCGCCGCCGCGCGTGAAGCGCCGATGGGCCGCCCCAAACCCTGCCTCCGCGGCCCGT